GGGCACCATAGACCTCCATTATTTGAATGTCAGCAGACAGCAAGAAGCCTCCCAGATCTCCAGATGCATTTGAGATATCAAAAAAGTACTCCAGGCTGTTGTTCAGCATGGGGGTGAGTAGAAAATGAAGGCTAATCATGTTTTGGGTGTACTATTCCTTTAACATAGCTTTTAGCATCTCAGCTATTGAAGTACACTGCTGATGTGGCTACCAGGGGCAGTGGGACATCATCTAACCAGTCATGTATAATATAATGCCGAGTGTGAAGTTAAAGTCCTGAAACATCATCTCTTAGTAAATACTGCATAGAGGTAGTATTTTGCACACACATCACTGGTTATGCAGTTTAGTTTTAATTCATTTCTTAATTTTTTCTGAAACAGCAGAGCCTAAAAGTTCGCCTCTTAATGCAGCTTTAAGTCTTTAAAAAGCACCATAGAGGATGATCTAAGTAGGTGTGACAGAAAGGAATAAAAGATCGATGCATTTGGCCAGAATTTACCGAATGAGTGTTGATGATTTCTTCTATTGAGATGTAGATGACAGGTTTGCTCAGAGTAACCATGTCTGAATATTCATCAATGTTAAACTTCTCCTCGGGTTCAGGAACGTCACATGCAGCCTGGAAAAATAACCTGTTGGAGATCAACAGTTAGGCATTAGTCTTTGAGCATCAGGTATAGTAAGGTTGACGTAAACAACACTCCATTTAAGTTGCTAAACTTCATTAAATCTTTTTGCTAGTGAGGTGGAACAGTTCAAACGGACAGATTCCCAGAAAATAGACAGGACAGTGGATTTCCAGTAAAGATGAGTCACTCATTTTCACAAAGTGGGCCAAAAGGCGGCACACACACTCATGTTGCCTTTCTCATTTGGAAGTGAAGTTAATGTTGGCAGGCGGCTGTCTAAAATCTGCTTATACAGCACATAGCTTTTTCTTTTTCCATGGTTACCTTCATGTCCACAGTGTCGTTTTTTTATATTCTGCATTGTTATTGGAGGAAGGTTCACTTCTTTTTTACCTCTTGGATTTTTCTCTTAACAAAAGGTTTTGTTTTACGTCCAACATAATAGACAGCAAAGCATAATTTATGCAGACTCCTCATTTTTCCTCTTACCTAAACTTCTCATACGCCTGAGATATGTAGTTGTTCATTGAAATCATGTGCGCATTCTCGCCCTCAAAATGCTTGTTTGCAGCAGCATGCTGCAGCATCTTTGCAACAGATCCCAAGTTGCGTCGCTGCTCGACATGAAGTTGGCCTCCTGCTGACATGTCGATGATATCAAACCCATCTGGTGCCACAATGGCTGGGTTCATGTAGCGGTAGTACAGCAGGTTCCCTACAATCTAAATAAAGATAAATAAGTAACACATCAAGCAGGAAAGTGTTTTTTTTCTGTTTTTTTGTGGTAATGTATTATTCCTCTACCTTCAGCAGCTCATCCTCTGAGGCCTCTGGAAACTTTTGATGGAGGCTTTGCTTCAAAACCTTTGCTATGTATCTCATGCCATAACTGTATGTAGAACAAAAAGAATCGGTCAGCCATCAGCATGCAGTTACATGTCATTTTAGAAATAATAAAACAAACCCAAGAAGAGTAAAACTGAAGATGGCTCATTTGAACTACAGTCTGATCTCCTATGTAGGAGCAACAGCACCCCCAGTGGTAGGTAACAGTAGAATCAGAAAAAGTAAAGTTTTTATGCCAGTAAGTGCTCTAAAAGGTTGCCCAAGCATCGAAACCACAGTGAGGCCAAAAATGTCCAGTTTTATAGAAAAATGTTTAAATATAAAAGAAAGCTGAAGAAATTAAACTGAAAGCTCAGCAAGATGACATGTTTTATGAGATTTTAATGCTAAAACAGGGGAGAGTAAATACATTTTTTATCATTTAATCTTTATTAAACATAACAGGTAATGAAGGGCCATAAAACATGTGAATTTGGCACAGAAGAACAGCCAGAAGACCGTTATAGGGACTAAACCTAGAAACTTACGGGATGTTATCCAGCGACGACACAATTAAGTTCAACACCTTATCTGTTGTGGACCGCAGAGCCACACTGGAAGCCTGCAGCCTGTTACGTACTTCCTCATGTGACATGGCTTGCTCAGGAGTAACCTCATAGGGCAGCTTGCTAAAGGAAACCAATGGAAACAAAATTATTAT